CTCTGTTCTAATGCCTCCTTGCTTTCTTGACGCAGACTCTATTGTATATCTCATGCTTATCCTTATATGCATAAGGTAGTCTATTGTCTCACTGGCGTCGCCTTTGACTCTCTGACTACTCTAGCCTCTACCTGTCTCACTTAGACTCCACTGTCTCTCGTTGGTGCTCTCTATCTCACCTGTTACCCTTGTCTTCTGACACCAACTGGCTGGCGTGCAGATACAGCGGAGGTCCTTGGTTGTCCTGTTTAGTTGGCGAAATAGTCGTGACTAGCGACACTAGTTAAAAAATCCAAAAAAGCCCGACTTCAAAGAAAGAAGAGTACGCAGACTAAGTGTTGCAGACTACTAATGTTAATTGAACTTTTCCAGTTTTCTTGCGTTATTCTGATATGGTGCACGATTAAATCTTAATTGGGGCCCTGACTTATAAGAGAGGGCTTCGGTCACTTTTGTTTATGCGCATTAGTAGGCACCCACGATTATCGAACTTGATCTGTGAACCGGCGCGGTCTGTTAGCTGCCGATTGAAAACTTGATCCTTTTATATACACATATACGTGCAGTTGGTAGTGGTGCCTGTGGCGTTGTGCGATTGCGAGCGTGTGACTGCGTGTGTTGGGCCGTAGACGATGAGGTGTGTGTTTGCGAGTGTCAGTGTAAGCGTGATTGTGCGTGTGTGTGGCGTGCGTGGGTGTGTGTGTGCGTGTTGTGTGATGTATGGGAGCAAGTATTGGACATGCGCCGGCATGGCGTGTGTGGCGAACACTCGCATTATCTAAGTCTCGTGTGATACTACATAGGAAGACCAAAGATTCACTAAAGCGAGAAATAGTAGGCTGCATCCAGTTACCGTCATTTTTGTGATAGCAAAGTGGAGATATTTTATTTTAGTTATGTCTACTTACCTAGTGTCAGACTAGTATGGTAGTGAGAGCCGTAACAAGCAAGTAGCAGCAGTAGCAGTTCAGATCTAAGTAGTCAGCAGTAGCAGCGCCAAATAAGCTAGGAATAGATATGTAAGCATCGTTCGCGAGTTATGATTTGACAAGTGCTACGCGTAGTAAAGTAGCAAGCGCAGTAGTAGTAGCACTAGTAGTCAGTGAGCAGGTAGCGATGTAGTAGTAAGCAGCGTGTCTGTGTGTTCCAGCAATCGCCTGTTGAATGCCCGTAGAACGCAATTGTCAGGAACACCTTGGCGTGCGGAATCAGGCTCCTCTTCATTGCGCAAGACGCTGGCGTTTATAACAACTGAACACAGTATATCGGTCGGATACGCGCGATTTGCTCGTTGAAAGCTTTACTATTGCGGGCTAAACGCTAACGAAACGGACTGTTGCTAAGTCCAATTATAGTATGTCTTAACTTTAGTCTGAATATTACGTGGGCTTATGTAATATAATACATGCATAAGCGAGATTTTGATTGGTTGTTTGCGTCCCTTAGCACGCAGTATGCTGCACTCTCGGGCGCTACCCGTGCTAAGTCTAGAAAAAAACGTGGACAGGCGGTTTTGGATCCGAGGTTTATTAACCGTTCATAATCAGAGAGATCATAAATTTAAGATATTTGCATTGTGAGTCCAGCGGGTCTTAGCTGACTATGCGTCGCAGTTGGTAATAAAAATTTTCGCCAATTTTTATAATTTCAAATAACAAAAAAGTAAAAACTAGTATTTTATCATTTGCGTTTTCGAGCAAAGTACGCTTAGTATTCATGTACTCTACACTTTAACCGATATTCATGTGCATTGTGCGATCCGACGTTCTGCTGCATAATTACACTTCTTTCTCACACCTTGTCAGGTAGCAACTAAACACTAGCGGTGTACAATAACCGTATTTATTCGAGACATCTGGAAGGTGGTTTGACAGATCATATGAAGTTGCCTGCAACACTTTACAAAGAATCATGCTAGTTTTTGGAAGTTGCGTATATATCTACCTGGAGTGGGGCAGAAGTCTTGAAACTGTATGAGTGTGATGCCGGGTAACTGAACTTATTTACAGTGATACTATTCCAGAGTGCTCCGGCAGAACATTCGCGCTGTGGACTCCCTACTACCTTGATAGGGAACATCTATCCTGTTCCTAACCCCTCCCTCACTTTCAAGGACTCCGATTTCTGGGACTCCCTCCCTTATAACGGGACACAAACTGCCGTTAAGAATTCCGCATCCTCTTGTCTCTCTGTCTTCTCTCTCCCCATCCTTCTGCGTTCGTCTTGCCGATTAGTACTTCCTCTCCTTCTCTGCTTCTCTCTTCTCTCTCTCGTTCTCTCGCGTCTCTCGTCAATCTCTCTCTCTCTCTCTCTCTCCTCTCTGTCCTCTGTTCACTCCTTCTATCGCCTCGCTTCTCTCTCTCCTCTCTCTCTCTGTCTCCATCACCCGTCTCTCTCCTTCTCTCTCTCTCCCCCCTTCGCTCTGCCAAATCTCTCTCTCTCTCTCTGTCTCTCGCTCACACAGACCAGTTTATCCCTTCTGAAGGCCAGATTGATAATGCATGTAAACATGCTAGAAGATATCAACGAGTTGTACATGTATCTGTGTTTTCTTTCAGTTACCAGTCAGATATGAGTCGTTTGACAGCCTCTCTCTCAACATTCCAAACCAGCTATGGGTAAGGGATCATTGCGTTGACTCCACAAAAGCTGCAAGTAGCTCTAAACCGCTTAAACTTAAAACAGTTACCGACTTAACGTGGTATACAAGTGACAAATCGTTTCAATTTATTGTCAAACCCGTATGGTTTGGATTTGTATGTGACATTTTTTTACCTAGTTTTATTACCTACTTTTCACTATCTTGCTCTCATTGCCTTCATCATATTGAAGGTTTTGTCCGTGGTCGTTGCCCAACTGCTAAGCTGTTTGTTTCTTCTGTTTTCTTTGAGATTTTTGTTTCTTCAGGCTTCATATTCTCTGTCAATGGCAACAGATTTGTCTCATTACTTGCCATGGCTTCGTCTGTCTCATTGCCATTTCTGCTTCTCTCTCATTACATACAATTTCTGCTTCTCTCTCATTACATACAATTTCTGCTTCTCTCTCATTACATACCTTTACTGCATGTCTCACTACATTTATTCATTTGTCTCGTTACATACAATTTCTGATTCTGTCTCATTACATGCAAGCTCTTCTCATTATCATTACATGCAATTTCTTCATCTCTCTTTTCATATACCTTGGCCTCGTCTTTTTCGCTGTCCACTGGCTTCTTCCTCTTCATCACCAGCTATCCTTCCTCACTGTCTCACCTCACGGCGCATCCCACCCGTGACCTCACAGCGTGTCCCACTCGTGACCTCACGACGCGTCACGGCTGTGACCTCACAGCGTGTCCCGCCTGTGACATCACGGCACGTCCCGCTTGTGACCTCACGACGCGTCACGGCTGTGACCTCACAGCGTGTCCCGCCCGTGACCTCACGACGCGTCCCGCCTGTGACCTCACGACGCGTCACGGCTGTGACCTCACAGCGTGTCCCGCCCGTGACCTCATGACGCATCCCACCTGTGACCTCACGACGCGTCACGGCTGTGACGTCACAGCGTGTCCCGTCCGTGACCTCACAACGCATCCCGCCCGTGACCTCACGGCGCGT